CATCTGATTTCGTCAATTATAACAAGTAACTTTAAAGAAAAAGAAAATATAGCAATCAGTTTCAAATGTTAAATCTCATAACAATCTCGTAAACGAATGTAATTGAACCGACTGAGTTTATTTTAAATATTTACTATTATAAAACTAAAAAGAAAAAGTATCATTAAATCAGAAGAAGGACCAAATATAAAAAAATAAGCTGCTATTCAATAGTTTGCAAGTGAAAATAAATGTTGGAGTTTTCTAAGAGAAAAATATATTTTCCTAAATTATTTTTATATCTCTCCTTTTAATTATTGCTATCTTATTTTTGCGTGTATTTACCATTTCACTTGTTTTGGTCAGTTTTAAGCATTTAAAATGCGTACTTTTAAACCGAATTTTTTTTAAAAATTAAAATTAAGTATCTAAACAACCTCACCAAAATCTATAACCACTTTTACACTCAGTTTCGTTTTTGTTCTTAGCGCTCTAAAAGAAAGAAAATGTGCAGTAAGAAAAGAGGAAAGATAAAAATAAAAATAAAAAGTGTTCCCCCGCAATGTGATTCAAAATCAATAATGTTTCCGAGAAGCACTAACTTCCTAACACTTTTTATTTACTTTTCATTTATCCATCTTTCATTTCCACGGAAAATCTTTTCCCAAGAAATAAAATTGTGAAACTTGGCTTGAAATAGGCTTGAATTCTCCAGTCATATGAAGAAACTCATAACAAAAAAAAAGAAAGTGCGGAGAAAAGCAAAATAATGTCAGGGAAAAAAAATCTCATTTTTCAAAATATATATATCACTCAATGCAGCTATTTTTTTTATAAAAAAAGACCTAGAGAGAAAATCAATTTTACCAGTTTTTGACTTCAATAATTGTGATCTTTACTTTTTGTCTTGAGTAAGTACAGTTGGCTGAGTAATGTGAGAATTTATATGTTAAGTAAGCACAAAATTTCAGTGTTATCGAGTCAAAAGTTTTAAAGGAGAAAAAGAACTTCTTAAGGATTACGAATTACATAGCAACCCATGAAAAGCAAATGGCCGGAAAAAGTGGTTGTATAGTTAGAAGATTTGAAGGGACCCAAAATAGTGATTGATCGGAAACATTTATTAGATATTGTGATTACAAATGACATATTGAGGGGGGGCAAGAGATAGCCTGGTTGGTAGGGCACTGGATCCATGTCCAAGAGGTCGTGAGTTCAATCCCCGCCGTCGGAAGACTCCCCGTGTAGTAAATGGTTGACTGATGCACGTTAAATCTGTCGAGTCTCAAAGTCCTCCATGATCCCATAACAAATCATAACTCTGGAGGGTACTGATCCAGGAGTTTCCTTGTTTTCTGGATTAATTCAAAATGGCAAAGATACGGAGTTGAACAGTAGTAGTTGTAAACCCAAAATTGAATCGGCTGTTCAACGACGGTTATAAAATAAATTAAAAGATGACATATTGGAATTTAAAAAAATCATAATGTCATAGTTTGCCTTGCTAATAAAAAGTTGCACAGTAAAAAGAACTTAAAAAACTCATGAAAGTAATTCATTGGAATCATTTATTTTATAGCATAATTACAAATGACGTACTAGATCAATGCAGTTCATAATATTACTAGTTACTACAGATGTTCAAAGTATGCTATGCAAAGTATGCAATTCTTGACTCGGACAAAGCTTCGATTTGGCAGAGGCCATAAAAACAACTAGTATTCCGAATAACTTTAGAAACAATTGAATTGCAAAGTTTTTTACAATTATTCACCAATCGAAATTTTTAAAAGTTTCTGTAAACGAACAGAGAGACATGGGACTGAAAATAAGAGAATAAATGTTTCTAAAATTACGTTTTTGAAAGCGGATTAAAAAGGTCTATAAGTAAGTTTGCTTTTATCAGACCAAAAGCGAAAAACATAGTTCTCATCCCTTTCTTAATAAACATCTGTCACCTTCAAAAATGCCCCTCACATCTTTTGAAAGTTTTTTTTTAAAAACTCATTTTTTTAAAAAAACTTTTGAAAATAGAAAGTCAGAAGAGATGGTAGTGATAAAACTGATTATAAAAGTGACGCATCCCATGTTTTTCGATTTTGAAAGACAAAAACCGAATTAAACTATGTTTTTGAAATTTTTTATTTATTTTTTTTCTTTTACTAATGATTCATCAAACCGCAATACGATACGAATCAATTTTGTGAATTGATACAAAGTGAATTTATGGAGCATTTCTTTATTGTCTCTCCTTAAGTATTCTCTTTAAAAAGTCGCTATTTTTTTATTTGTTGAGTGTTATTATTCATTCCAAAGATACTTTATACGAACTGTTATAAATCAGTTCTTACTTTTCTTAAGAATCCTTTTGTATACATTTAAAGAAAATTGAATAAAGGAAAAGACGTTTGTGGGTTCTTGTTAGAACTCATCGAACTCTTCCTCTTGTTCTGTTTGAGTACTTAACAAAAGAGAATCATCGAATACTATCGATTCCAATTTTCCCTATTATGCAAATTTTTTAAGAATCTGCAGTGTCTGCCAGAAACTTGGACAATCAAATTAAACTGTTATGAATGATTTAGAAGGAAATTTAAAGAGCAGAAAGGGTATAGTGTGCTTGATTGAGTAGAATTAAAAGTAGAATGTCACAAAATGAACGACAATTTGACAAAACAGTATTGATAAACGGAAGGGGATAGAAGTATACACTTCGCTGCATTTTTCTTAAGAAACCAGCTATTCACTTTATTAAAACTCTTAATGAGTTACAAATTCGTCATTTTAAAGCTTACTGGTTGGAAAAACTATCAAGCAATGTTTACTGCTGTGTGTTGAATCATTCCATCAAAAATTATTGCTCATGATAGTGAACTTACTCATCAGTTTGCGCAACTCCGCTTCCCCAAATAGTCCTCTTTTTAAAAATTTTCCTAGTTATCATCGCCATCTATTGAAAGAAATTTTAGCTAATTTTAATTTTAAAATTTATGGTCTTCCGAGACCGAGCAGAACACAACGAAATGCGCAATATAATTCCCTTTTGTGTTTCTGTAAAATCTTTTTCAAATCATTTTCCAAATCTGATACACATACAGAGTGCTTCAAACAATCGCAGAATCACCATTAACATTGCTATAGCAACTAGCATTGCCAAAATAAAAGGGTAAAGCAAGCGAACAAAAAAAAAAGTTTCGTAGGAAAAAAGGTTCCTAAATGCTATCCTTGGCAACTACAGGTGTTATCAAAGGAGATTTGCGTTTCGTCGTCCCTGCAGGGAATACCTCACCTTGACGAACATCGCGAACGATGCAGCTATCGCAAAATAGTGGTCGAATCTTTAAGAATCTACTTTAAAATACCATAAAAAATAACACGAATGCAAAAAAAACTACGCGTTACGAAGTGAAGAACCCTCTAAAGCAGAAGCTGCATTATGTTTTCTATCAAAATTACAAAAGGAAACCATTAAATGGACAGTATTGAATCTTTGATCTATTGAATGAGACTGACTTCTGTGACTTTGATTGTATGCGAAAAGTGCCTTCTTGTCTTTATGAAGCTGTAAGTGCTGCAGATACGATCATTTTCTCAGCAACTGGAAAAAAATTTCAGCTGATATCGGAAACTCAGAACACTTGAAATATTAAGTGCATATCTGTATGTAAAGAGGAAAACCAAAAATGGAAACTGGAAGTCAAAACACTCAGTAACTCATGTCCGAACAAACTCACGATCGAATCTGAGAAGAAAATTCATCTACGCCTGAAGACATCACCTACCCGAGAAACTTCTTCAAGTCATGGACTTGGAAGTCGGCACACAGCTCTGCACCTATGCCGTGGGCATCTATCAGAAAGAAATACTGTGGCCAGGAAAACAGACAGTTACAACGGCGGCCTACTACGCTTCCCCCGATGAGTCCCCAATCACGAGCCCGCCCAGCATCTGCAACGTCGCCAGAGCTAGGCCCAACATCTGCCCTCATCTCTCGTCAGGATACTTAAATTTATAACTATACAATTATTTAGAGATGCAGATATTATCAAACATTGTGTAACTATAATAGAATATTGATTATTTATATTTAAGACCCATGAGAGCTGAGCGTCAAAAATAGTGACTATACAGAAGAAGCGTGGTTAAATATGACATATCATGAAAATATAACTGGATAAGCAAATACATTGCATGAGATAATGTAGCAAAAGTACTAATATGATGCAAAAAATAAGAGGACTGGGAAAATTATATACATGGGAATTTATATTTGAGGCACAATTTACATTTGTGGAATCGTTAGTATCTATATATACATGGTTATTCAATAACAGTTGTCAGAAATGATTCCATTAAAACTTTGTAGTGGTTGTGCATAGCACAACCACTACAAAGTAGTACAAAGTAGGTTAATCAAGTTACTACAAAGTAGGCTTGATGTCAGTTGATGGTAGGCTATATAATCAGGATATGACAATTTGTTCATGTAGATGCAGTCAATTAAATATGGTTTGCTAGTAGATACATACATAAAAGCCATTAAGGCATTATATAAACATTTCATCTAAAGTTGACATAATTTAATACAAATGGTAATTATGTCATCCACTGTATGAACCGAAACTATGCTTGAGCTTACTGTTATAATCATGACATGAAAATTCAAAACAAATTAATGCTAAGAATTGAGAAATTATATGTTTTGAATAATATGAAAACCTGGGTAGCAAAAGGTTTTAACACTATGGTAATGGATAGCATTGAAGTTGGATGTATTTTAATATTGATTATTAGTCGGAGAGTTGTAAATTTTAGCTTGGCGTTAGAATTTGTTCATAATTCTGTATGAAGTTAATTAAGTTAATTAGTTTATTTATAAGAGTTTTATTACTAATAATTTGCTTCTTCAAGGCTATGATGTTTTGTTCCATGGGAATTTTAAAGTGATAGGATTCTTTTAACAGGCATTTTGTAGCGTAGTGTAGTGGTGAACCAATTTCTCCACAGCTGCAAAGTTTATGTTATGACAACTGAAAGCGTTTCAAGTATGTCCAAAAGGGATCGTGCTCAGTTCTGAACACTATTAATTGTTTTGGCCATTTACTATTTTTAATGGAAACTTTTGGAAGAATTTCGTAAGTCGTTCTTCCGTACTTGTGTGTGGTCCACAGTTGCTGCCAATAATTTAAAATGAATTCTTTTTCCTTCTTTTTAATATATGATAGGGGCATCCCCAAATTTATTGATGTAAGATTTGTGTCTGTGACTGTATCCTTTGCTGCCTTATCCACCTCTTCATTATCCATATGACCAACATGTGCCTTTATCCAGGAGATTTCCAATTGTGGATGATTGATTAAAATATTTTGGACTTTTTTGAGTAATATTATGTGTTGTGTTGATTTGATAGCTTGTAAGGTAGATAGACTGTCAGTCCAAATTGTTGTATTTCTACTGTTATTTTTTGCTATTTGGAGTGCTTCTAAACTATCTCTTGCTTCGGCTTGAAAAATAGCGTTCCAATTGAAAAACTTCCTTTTGATGGTATTTGATTTCGTGCCATCATTAAAGACTATTATGGCGGCTCCTGTTCCTGCCTCCATCTTCGAGCCATCTGTGTAAATATTAATCCTTCTATTTTTATCAGTTTTTTGTTTTATTTGAATATTGCCTGTTATATTTAAGTTAAAGTCTGCAGGAGGAATTGTCTGGAGATTAATTTCTGTATCTATTTTTTTATTACTTATAATTAAATCGTCCATCAGAATTGTGTGAAAGAAATCTTTTAGCAAGTTAATTCTAATTGCTTCTTGTTGCAATGTTAGATGAAGAGGAGGCAGACCCAGGATCACCTGCAGTGCTTTTGTTGGTGTTGTCCTATATGCGCCTGTTATATTTAGTAGGAACTTCCTTTGTACTGAGTCAATCTTGTCTTTTATGTATTGCTGTGGTTCTGAGCACCAGATTGCTGCACCGTGTGCTAATATTCTGACTACACACGCCTTATATAAAATTAGTCTATGGTCTCTTTTAATTCCTCAAGATCCTCCTGCTATTCTTTGGATTGCTTGAAGTTTTGCAGATGCTTTATTTCCTTGTGTTGTTATATGTTTTGACCAGTTAACCTGTTCATCAATTATAAGACCTAAAAGATTTACTGATGTGGATCTTTTTGTTTTCTTGTTGTTAAGCTTTATTACAGGGCCGTTTACTAGTTTTCTTTTAATCAGAATGTATGTAGTTTTCTTTTTTAAGATTTCAAGACCATGCATAGTGGCCCAGCTATTTAAGATATTTAATGTATTTATTGTTATAATTCCAAGATCTGATTCTGGCTTAGCTGTTATGACAAAGCTGAAGTGATCTGTAAAAGCGAATTGTTGGACGTCTGCTTCTATGGGGTGTTTTAGATTTTGCGTAGCCTTCGTCCAGTTGAATTATAATGGTTCATCAGCAGAGGTTATCGAAGAAGTAGGACCACTGCACGAGCCTTGAGGAGTTCCTATGGTTTGTGTTATTCAAGATAAAACTTCATCTGTATGAAGCATAATTAGTCTATCCGTTAATAAGCTTTTAAAAATGTTAAAGATATCACTTGGACAATTTTTATTATTAAGGCAATTTAGTATATCATTATGCCTTAGATGGTCAAAGGCTCCTTTAATGTCTGCTGAGCGTAGCAGCATATGTTTCTCTTTATTTTTATGTTTCTTTGTGTATCTAAATAGTTGTGTTAGAAGGTCGTCCACTGATTTACCTTTTCTGAAACAAAATTGTCGGTCACTTAGTAAGTTGTTTGTCTCTAAGTGAAACATCAGTCTTGATGTCACTAATTTTTCTATTAATTTCCCAATCGAAGGGAGAAGTGTAATAGACCTATAATTCAATATGTTGTGTTTGTCTTTTCCTTTTTTAAGGAAAAGAATCAGATTTCCTACTTTAAAAGCTTTGGGTAAATAACCTATACGCAGACACGAATTGGCAAAGCACAGGAAAAGTTCTTTTTCTGTTTGGTGAACTTCTGTTAGAATTTCATTGTCTATTCCATCCACTCCAGGAGCTTTCTTTTTCGGTAGAGTTGTTATAGTTCTATCTAGTTCTTCTTGGGTGAATACTTTGTCTTTGTTTGAGTTATTGCTGTGTATCGTATTAATTTTTTGATTAGTTGTTTTATAAATTTTTTGTAGAATATTCAAAGCATTGTTTTTAGATGTTGCAATTTCATCTCGCTCAATTAAATTAGTTGGATATTCCCCACTTTTAAAAGTTATTTTGTATGCCTTATCGAATGGTTTGGTCATGTTTGTGCAAAAAGTTCTTCAGGAGTTGATTTTGTTTTTCCTAATTTCCTTAAAATATACTGCTTTCTTTATCTTCTGTTTCTTGCGTTCTTTGTAATCTTTTTCGAATTGCTCTCGAATTCTTTTTTCTTTATTTGTAAGCTTTGAGTCCACCATGATAATTTGGGTTAAAACGTATGGCTTTTTGTTTTAAGGGATTTATTGCAGGCAACAATGATTGTTCTGATTAGGTTATCCGTTGCAGTATACAGAGTATCTTTATTTTGTGATAAACATATGCTGTTTTTTATTGTGGGGAGAAGTAGTCGTAAATGATTTTTAAATTTAGCAAAACCTCCATAATTGGTTTTATAACGCTTTAAGGTAATACATTCTGCTGAATTATCAATTTTTAGGTTAAGCCAGCGATGATTACACTTCTTCAAGTCATTGTCGGACACCAATTATTGTCTTTCACTTATTTATTGTTTTGTTTGTTTTTTTTTTTTTTTTTGTAACTGATTCTATTCTAAAAAATGCTTGAGCCTGTACTTTCTGTTATTGTTGGTTGGTGGATGATACTTTGCCTTCCAGTCCTTGAATTGACCGAATTATATCGAAATGAAATTTTCCAGTCATCTGCGGAATTTTGTGCCGCTATTCCGTTGTCGGGTAGGAGTTTTTCTGCTAAGCGAGCAAGGTAACCCCTTTGCTGGAACTATGCGTTATTTTCTGTCGGGGATGACCAGCAGCTTGTTTCACTGAGATGCTTGATCGCACCAAGTTTGTGTTGGCTTGTTATTCTCTCCTTTGCATCAACTTGCTTGGGAATAATAGACATCGAATATCTCTGAATGAATTTTTTGTAATGACGATTCTTATAGTGCAATTTTATCAATTGCAAAATAAAGGAATCTAGAATTCATTGATAATTTCACAAACATGAATTACATTTAAGCCATTTAAAAATGGTCCATTAATATCAACCAACCTAAGTTACTTTCTTAATACTATAGCACTGTCACTTTATTTCCGTGATAGACTGTTGGTTTTTTATTTGACTGTTGTTTTTTCATTTTAACACATCTTAAGAACCATTCTTTCACAAAACTATTTTCACATTTTATTCAATAAATACTCTCATATTGAGGATTTCAAACTGGTCGTAACAGTCCTAACTATTCATATATTCTTATATGTTCTACCTTTTCTTTTAAATAAATAACGTATTGAAATCCAAGAAACAAACTCAAATATTTTTAGATCTGGTAGACATTACAATAACATAGATTCCGAATGGTAATAATATTGATTCAGATGGGTTGAATATATATATATATAACCATCTTTAATATATGAAAAGTATTTGCTCGATAATGAACAGATAAACCAAACCAATTTTGAAGAGTTTAAATGTGAGAAACTTTTCAATAATATTTATATATAACCACAAAGTAGTGATATATCACATTGTATACATCATAACATTTGCTAAATATGGAAAAAAATAAATAAAACATTTATAGTTAAATATCATATTGCCTACAATAAATATACTATCTAAATAATAAACAAAAAAGATAAATAAATCAGTTTTTGTATGTATTACGCTTGATAAAACATTATCAAAAACATTTACTAGCTAGTGAATGAGGTCTACTTTATAAGTCTTAAAAAAAGATTAGGATATAATATCAAAGTCCAGTTATTTTCTATAAATAAAATTTTCGACACTATAGAATTTTGACTCTCTCTTTTGATACAAAATATTTTTGTGAATGAGAGAAAAAAATAAATAACCCCCAACTTAATTCTAACAAAATTTTCGTCCTGATTTACTTCTTATTTTTTAAAAACTTCAAAAAATAAGTTTGCTACATCAGGAGGAAAAAAACACGACCACTTCAATTCAAAGAGAAGGGTCTTATAAATCACCCGAAAGAAGAAATAACTAGTGTAGCAGAAATGAAGCTGATTTATGAATGGCCACAAATTATACCAGAATAATCCAGTTGCATGGTGTAAAAAGAGTTCTTTTCAAAGAATTTTAGTTTTTTCTTTATGTTATTTAGTAAAAGTTAACACAAGCATTTATGTCTTTAAAACTTGCTTTAACACGTTGAATGCCATGGGCGTCACTGGTGACCGGCACTGAGTTTGTTTGTAGCTCGGTTACCGGTGACCGGTGAAGTCAAGATTAGTAGAAACACATAATTCGGGTAAATTTTTAATACTTTTAATTTTCTTACATTATTATCGTTACTAAAATGGTTTGAAGAAATTAATGCAGTGTAGAACACACAAAAATCATTTTGGCCAGACGGGCAAGCAATGTAAAATTATCATGGCATTCAACGTGTTAACGGGAAGGCATTTACGATTGACATTAAGTATCGCTTATCAAGCTTAAGATGAATTAGTATTGTGACTGGGTGTTTTGGAGTAATTTTGTGAAAATTTACTTGCAAAAACAGCAATATTAGCTAACGTACTCCAAACAATTAAAGTATTGTGATTGAAATTTTAATTTTGCTTTGGAGTATTTTGCAGATTTTTTTTTTAATTTTACGGTAAAAATATTAGTTTAACTCGAATACTATAAATAATAATATTTTCTATAAATAACATTTTCAACATTATAAGGTTTTAACTCTATTCTGATACAAAATACTTTTGCGAATGAGAGAGAAATTTAATAACCCTCTACTTAATTCTAACAAAATTCTCGTCCTGATTTATTTCTTATTTCTTAAAAACTTCAAAAGATAAGTTTGGGAAAGTTTGCTACTTCAAGAAGGAAAAAAAAACACGACCACTTGAATTCAAAGAGAAGGTCTTATAGATCGCCCGAAGGAAGAAATAACTAGCGAAGCAGAAATGGGGTTGATTTATGAAAGGCCACAAATTATACCAGAAATAATCCAGTTGCGTAAAAAGAGTTCTTTTCAAAGAATTTCAAATTTTTCTTGGTGTTATTAAGTAAAGGAGTTAACACAAGCATTTGTATCTTTAAAACTTGTTTTCGAGGAAAGGCGTTTGTGCTTGGCATTAAGTACCGCTTTATAAGTTTAAGAGGAATTAGCATTGTGACAGGGTGCTTGGTGTTGGCTCAATTTTTAGAAAATTTACTCGAAAAAACAAAATTTTAGAGAACTCAATCCAAACAATTGCAGTGTTGTAATTGAAATTTTCATTTTGTTTTAGAATATTTTGCATATTTTTTTTTTAAAAAATCACAGTAATATTTTTAATTTAACTCGAATACTAATGGGCATTATTCTGTGGCGCAACTGTTCCTTTCATATATTCTTTTTTCTGGTGCT